CGCGGAACCTAGAATTCCGCACGGAGCGCCACAAGAGTATGTTTATGTAGTTTTTTCTTTGTGTAGTTTCGGTAGTGTGGGAATGCGTGGCTCGCGGGTTCCCGCACTTCGCTGTGCCGTGTCCGCTCGATCCATTTGCAGATTGGAGATGCAGGAGAGTGTGGTTCGTGCTTTCCTGCACTTTTGGTTCCCCACATCACCGTTAAGCAGCATCGCCGTTAGCCCGGCCTAAGAAGGGGGGTCACCACCGTTGGGGGGGGGGCTTCGGTAGCGAATCATAGGAGCCTCGCGTGTCCCCGAAATTTCTTTGCTAGAACGCACTGGCGTGCGCCAGCGTGTGGTAATCGATGATGATCTAGCGTGGGTTAGCGTCGATCACCAGTATCGATCACCAGCGTCGATTGGCGTCGGTCAGCGTCGATTCGCAAGGGCCAGCAATATAGCCTGGGGGGCTCTCAGGTCTTGCCGCAACAGGGGGCCGCCAGCTCTCCTCCGGGCACCCCCATGGGACGGTGGGAGCCACCCACATTGCCGTTGAACTCCTCCTCCTCCTCCTCCTCCTCCTCCTCCTCCTCCTCCTCCTCCTCCTCCTCCTCCTACTCAGGACTCCTTCTCGGGACTCCCCGTGGCCCATTTCAGGCTGAACATGAGGATGAAGTCGCCAAGCGTACGCCGCCAGCCACATGAGTTTTCTCAATTCCTTCTTCGATCTGGGACATACGTACTACAGTCTAGAGGGGGCACGAAGCCGCATCGACTATTTCCTAGGACCTCGAGCTCTTGTGGACACGGGGATAAACATGCACATTCCAGAAACGCCTTCAGGGCCTCCCAAACATGATAGACCATGCTCACATGTGCCTCTGCATGACCTTACCCGCACCCACCCCTCAGCAGCAGCAGCAGCAGCAGCAGCAGAACATCCAGTGGGGCTAGGGGGCGCTGGGGCGCTGGCGGCGACATTTCAGACAGGGCACCGAAGAGGAGAGTTTCTGGAGCGCCTGGGGCAGGTTTGGGGGAGGAACGGAAAATCTTGTGCCGCGCCCTCACGACAGATGGCGGGCCGACCCGACACGCTGGTGCGATAGCGTATGTTATCAGGGAGGTCGCTAGTGAGTTCTTTTCGGCTGAGAGCGTGATCCCAGACTGGCTCCAGGAGGCTAAGGCTGAACGTCGCAGATTACTAGAGGAACGAGCTACCTTACGCGACCTGGGGTTCCTGACGACAAGCGAGCCCCATCCGACGAATCGACAGGGCGATTAGGTTACACGCTCGATGGTTTGAATGGTGGAGGAGGGAGTCACTGGAACTGGAAATACGGGAGGCATGGGAGGTGCGGGACCAAGCTAGAGTAGGCAAACTCGTTCGACTCCGAGCTGGTACCAGGATGGGGCCCCGTAAAAGGTGTTACCTCGCCCTCCCGATGAGCCGCCCCAGCTCCGCTGAGTTTCGGGAGGCCCTTCAGAAACCAGAGGTGGAGGGCGGCCTGACGGCGGTCGACACGGTCTGAGGTACGCATCTGAAACCCGACAAAATAAAAGGCCCTGATCGAAACCCCTTGGGATGAGCTTCCACCATACGGGCCCCGAGGTCTCCCTCTACCCACGAACGAGGATCTGGAGCAGGCGGCTGGGGACTTAGAACACCTGAAGAGGCGACCCCGTCATTGTCATCACCGCCGCTACGCCCCACCATGGTCATGGCCCGTTGGGGTCACGAAGCTGTTCCTTTTCCGCACTTAATTGTTTTCACCCAGGCCTCTTTCGCGAGGGCTTGGGATCCACGTGGCGTGCACGTGACCCTGACCACTTGGACTTCGGAACTCGGGCAGCCCGGCCGCGACGCCGCCGGCTGGTGGTAGACGAAGTCCAGGCGAGTTCAGGATATGATATGCTATTCCAGTTGCTAGCACATGCTCGCGCACGGCAGCTACTCCCACAGCAATCACGCACGAGTCATGCAACAGCTATCAGCAAGGCTGGCAAGACACCCGCGGGCAATACTGTACAAGATATCACACGGTGTCTGCGATTATTGTACCGTTTCTGTCGATGGTGGAGGCTGCTCCTGCGCGTCAGCCTAGCCGACTATGGCAGCCAGTTCGCACCCCCCCTGGGCGCACGGTGGCATCATTCACAGGAGGAGGGAGGGGCTCATGATCCGCATCAAATTCGCCATGTGGAATTTGCGCCGACGCAGACACTATTACCTGTTCAAATCGTAGGACCGTATGTAATGAGAAGCGCGTTCGGCACAGGACATCACGCACGCTTACATGACGCGCATACGTCTCGAGGAGCAAATGAGTATTACGACGAGTATTACGACGAGCTGTTTACACAACATGGGAGCACGGGCATTCTCTACTTCGAGGTTACTGCGACGCAGCGATGAGGCCGACGACGGGTGGAAGGATGGGCGACTCGAATGAGCCAGAGATTTTCATGGAGTTCTTCTACCCTATCGCCAGCGCCTGGCAGCGTGAACTCGGGCTGGTCTTGGGCGATAGCATGGCGTGCAAGAGTCCACTGTTCGACCGCTTGGGTCACCTGGCGTTCGGAGGTTTCATCGGCGACCTGGTTCGAATCCTGGTTGTGCCGAGGGGTGCCGCGCGAGAGGCCCCGGGCCCCGACCGCTTTCACAATGGCATTTAATATGGGAACTTGTCGGAGGGGGACACGCGCAGCACGCGGGCACAAACACGAAATCTTAGCGCGCCAGCTACTAACAGGGGCACCAAGGAGCAAGCGCAGCATGTTCTTGGCGAATGTAGCAGGCCGAGTCTGGCCAGGCTTGGAGGCCCATGTGCGTCCTGTGAAGGAATATTGCGACCCGCCTGGATGCCGCGTTCATCGCTCAGACCCGATGGAGTTGAGAAGACGCGTGCGAGCCCGCATTCCCCCATGTCCGTCAGGTTCTCGGCTCAAGACGTTGCGGCCGCGCCCGGCCAGCGGCGTTCGAGGCCCCCTCGAGCGCGCCGAGCTGCCGCCGCCCTCGCGGCGGCCAGAGGACACCTCTGAGGAGCGAGAGCAGCTGCGAGCAGGCTTTCAAAGACTAGCAGCATTTGGTGAACGGCGGCCTCGGCGAGATCTCGGCAGCGGCCCCAGGCAGCGCGGCTGCCGCGCGCAGTGCCAGCGCTAGTGCCGGCCCCTGCCCTGGACAGGGCCCAGAGCGCGCCATCGCGGTTCGCAGCCGCGAACGCTCCCTTGCTTGTTCGGCCCGTTTGCGCAACGGCAGCAGCAGGCGATCGCGACGGCGGCGTCGGCGCCGGAGCTCTCCCGCGAGGCGAGGCCCGCCCCCCGGCGGCTCCTCAAGGGCCCCCCCCCCCGCCTCCAGCGCCTCTGGGGGCGACGGTTCGGGGGGCAAGCCGCCGCCGCAGAAGATGACCGAGAAGGGCGAGAAGGACGGCGACGCGCAGATGACGGGCGGGGGCCAGGGCAGCAAGAGCGACAATGATGGCGAGGCGAAAGGCAAGGGCGGCAGGGGCGGTCGCCGAGGTGGCAGGCGCCGCGGGCGCGGGCGCCACAGCGACAAGACGCTTCAGAGCTCGTTCAGGCTGCGGCTGGCGTCGGGGGCCACTATCGACACCCTCGCGCTCTCCGCGCAGCGCCGCGCCGAGGCGTTGCGAGAGGTGGGCGGCCCAGTGGCGAGCATGGCAATCGGCCTCCTACAGAGTCTGAAGGAATGCGACGTCGGCGGGAAAGCGAGACTCGATATCGACGAGTACCTGGGCCAGGTGATGCCGCCAGGCGAAGCCGAGCCCACGATGGCAAGAACGAGTATCGAGCTGGACGCGGCGGCGATCCGCGTCGAGACGTGCCACGACGAAGAGATAGTGAAACTCCAGGTAGCAGCGCCAGCGTGGCCGATGAGGGGAACGGTCGCGACCGCCTCCCCCGCGGAGGGAGCGGCCCTGCGCCGCGCCGGTGCAGCCCCGCCTGGTTGGCTGGAAGACGAGATGGCAAATTGGCTCGACGTCTTGACCCAGTAGTGTTTGTCCGTGGAGCAACGATCGGGGGCGCGGCGCTGAGGCGCTTCGGATTCCAGCAGGGCTTCCTCAATGCGGTCCACGCTCTGTACGCAGACGCGGAGGGCTATGTACTGCTTGGTGGAGTTCATCGCTTTCTGTGCGTCTTGGCCAGCGGTTTTGCTCAAGGTTGCCCGCTTCCGGGCAGCGTTTGGGCGGCGGCCGTGGATCCGGTCCTTCGTGCTCTCGCCGCGGTGCTGCCTACCCCTGCGGCTATGCCGACCTTGCCAGCCATCCCCGCAGCTGCTCTCTCGTCCGTGGCACCAGGCGGGCCACCGAGCGACTTGTTGATAAGGGATAGGCTGGTATGCCCGTTTTCGAGACCAAATCCTATTGCTATGCCGACCTTGCCAACCAGTTCACCGCTGCTACCTCGTCCGTGGCGCCAGGGGGGCCACCGCGCGGCCAGGCGATAGCGGATGGGCCGGCACGGCCGTTTTCGATATCATCGGCCTCGGGCTCGGACCCTCACCTCCGCGATCTTCACCATGGCGGCCTGGCTGCTGCTTGCGCCGACGACGTCGCGGTGGTCAACCGAAATGTCAGACAATTTCCACGTCTTGCGAGCACATTTGATTATGCTGGCGAGCTTGGCAACTTGCATATTCAACCGAAGAAGTGCGTCATCCTTCCTCTCTGGGCGCCGCTCTCGGAGGGGCTGGTCCGCCGAGTCCGCCATTTCGTGGAGCTCCTCGTTCCTCTGTGGAAGGGCTTCCGAATCGAGGGCAAAAGCAAATGCCTGCGCACCTCGTTATCAGCCCCGGCGCCACAGAGGAGAACCAATGGCGGGATGCGGCTGGCCAGTGGTGGCGCCGCATTGTACATGCTGGACATTCGGGCGCGCCCGTGGATTCCAACGTGCGGCTCTACGGTACAGCGTGCTTGCCTGTCCTCTCATACCTTGCGCAGTTTTTCTCACCGCCGAAGGCCCGTGTCCGCAAGGAGTTTCATGCGCTCCACGGGGTACTGCGGCTGCCGCCGTCCACAGTCAGGCTCTCGGATATCCTCGCCTTCGACGCGTGGCTCCCAACGTCAGGAGAACGGTCGATGCGCGCCCTAGCGGCGGGGGCATTGTGGCGCACAGCGGAGCGCACCGTCCCCTTATGGAGATCGGCGCTTCGGCGGCTGGAGGCGGTGACTGTTCGTCAGGTTGGTCTTCCTCGACTCGTCGTGGGACAGTGGTCTCCCGCCTTCTGGAACATGGGCGCGGCAATCGCACGGCGCCCCAAGCTGCCTCACAGGACAGGCCGCTTGGCAGCAAGGGCAACCATGTGCAAGGCGGCCGCCGCGAAGGCACGGCGCGTTGCGAAGTTGCCCGAGAAAGCCGGCGCGCGCCCCCACCCTCAACGGGATGTTGTTCGTCATGTCCAAGCAGAGTGCTACCCCGACAACTTCGAGTACACCTCGCGGAAGCCTTGCGGCGTGGACCGGGACGGAATGCGTCCAGAACGATCGCCGAGATCGATGGCACGGTCTCTGGGAGTTCTTTGCCTCACAGCCGCCAGCCTGGCGGTGGGTTGTGTTGCAGACTCCAGCGGGCGGCTGGCGCACGAGCTGCCGCATGCATGTCTTGCCCACGCGCCACGCATGCCTCTTCGGCTGCGAAGACGGCCTCGACGAGATCAGCCACTACGTTCAATGTCGTCGCGCCTTTCATTGGGTCACAGAGCCGCCCAAATTTGCGCACAGGGAGGTTCCACATCGCCTCGTGCTCGGCACCCGCGCAGACTATCCGGAGGAGGCCGCCCACGAGTTCCCGCGCCAGACCACGGCGCGCAACCTCGTCGTCCTGAACTACTTTTTCTTGGAAGTCAAGCTTTCCACTACCTCTGCGACAACCCCTTCCTATTCCGTGCGCAAGACCTGCCACAGGACCGCCCTGGACAGGCTTAGCCAGCACTTCTGAGCCTGGCCCCGCCCGCCGGCCGAGCCTGACGAACCGCATGAAGACACTGGCGTTCCTCCCCCTCCTCCTTCTCCTCCTCCTCCTCCTCCTCCTCCTCCTCCTCCTCCTCCTCCTCCTCCTCCTCCTCCTCCTCCTCCTCCTCCTCCTCCTCCTCCTCCCCCTCTCCCTGGCAATGCAATTTGATTGTTGATTTTGCTGTTTTACACGTCGTCTTCGGCGCTTCGTCGCTTTTGGCCTCTGGGGGGCCGTGTTCTAGCCCCGGGATCGCGAGAGACGGATCCAGGATGAAGATCTACCCCTGGGGAAGTCCCCCGCACGATTTTTCATCCGATACGCAGCATGATGATATTCCGGCCCTGTTCTAGCCTTGACCACCAGACTTTCGAACACCAGGAAAGTACCCAAATTGGAGCATGCTCACGTGTCGGACCTTGGGAGGTTATACTTGTTCGGCATTTCGCTAGCGTGTCGGGCAGACATTCGGTAGTTTTCCCTGTGCTCGAAAGTATTTCGTTTTTTTTGGTCTCGGAGTACGATGGGAACAACAGTAGCGGAGCAGCCGTACTGGAGTAAGGTGGGGCCCGATTGTTGCTACGGTAGGCTCGTGTCGTGTCGACCGGTGGCGGCTCCAGGTTGAACGACGCCTGTGGCCCAGAACGATCTGACGTCTCTGAAACGGCCGATCGTTCAAGTTTGAACGATCGCCGCGGTGTCAAGAACCAGGTTCCGGATCGACACGACACGATGCCGCCGTAGATTGTTCCCAGGCTAGCCGAGATCATTCCTTTAGCTGCCAACAGCCTGCATGGTCCGTCTTTTCCGAGGACGCAAGATCTAGCACCAGGGGGTAGCAAATTCCCTCCTGCCTGGACATCGAGTTTCCTTCAAGCAGAGACACTGCCTAAACCTTGAGTGCCGGAGCTGTCCGCGGATCTCCTGGATCGGCGCCAGGCCCTCCTGGCGGCGCCTTGGGCGCCACCCGTGCTGAGCTCCGCGCGCTACGAAGCCATGAGGAGAGTCCACGACCGATCCAGGAGATGCAGCCCGAGCTTTGGAAGTTCCAGCATCGGAGCTCGAAGAGCTTTTGGGATGTTGGGGGTCGTCTTGGAAGGTTCTGGAGTGATCTCGGGGGCCACCTACCCGAGGAAGCGGCGCCTTATTGAGAAAAGTGGCTCCCACCACAGTGGTGACCCCTCGTTTGCGGCAGCTGTTCTGTGGCTTCTGTCAAGTTTACTTGCGAGGAGGGGGAGGGGTTAGGGCGTGGCGAGGCCTGAATGGAAATCTCGACTTCACGCAAGCCGAGACTCACTTGTCCGCCTTTTCGGCCCAGCATTGCTAGAAATGGCGGCGGAAGGGTGGGGAGGGGGAAAGGGGGGGCGGGAATGCCATGCAAGTGGATTCGCTTGAGTCTCAAGAAGAACGCCCTTTGTGGCACTGCCCCAGGTGCTGGAGGGGGAGCCCGAGGGCCGCCTGGACAGCCTTCGCCCGCTCCGCGTGTCGGAGGTGGAGAAGCAGGAGCTGCTCCCCACGGTCGGGAACTTCCGGAGAATTGGCGTGTCGCTCTGCCGGCTCTGGCACACCACGCTTCGTTGCGACACGTTACCCAGGTCCCAGTCCCCAGGCCACAACGTCCCGAGCTTTTCGAAGCCTCCCGCCCCGCGGGGCGGAGCGACACGCAATCCACTCGCAGGGCATAGCCTATCGCAGGGGCCGCCGCGGCGACACGCTATCCAAAAGTTCCTGACTGCACTCCCGCTGCATCGATCATCCGTCCGCCCCCCCTCCTCCCCCCCTTCCCACCCTCCCCTGAGATCCAGGCGTTGCATATTTTTTTCCACACGGGCCGTGTCCGTCCAGGGTCGGACCCCGGCACGCTCACAGATCGATCCGGTCTAAGAGATGCCGCAGAAAGCTCTGGTCGCGATTCCTCTCGCTTCGTGGGGTGCACGTCCGCACGCAGAGACTGGGCGTTGGGTGGTTTGCTCTGCTCGTCTGCCGCGAAGTTCTGCCGTGTCGTTCTGCCCGCACTGGGGCGCTGCCAGCACCACGGAAGGCGGATGCGCCCCCCCCCGTTTCGGCGCCAGGAGGAGCGTGCGGATGTTCACGAGGGCAAGAGCACACACTGCATGTCAGCACAAGGCAGCGCCAAGTTCGAGCTCCGACGAGCACGGCAGCAACGCGCCTTTGTATATGATTCCGCGGGCTTCTGGGTGGCTTCTTGGGGCCGTTTGGGGGCTTCTCCGGGGCCTTTTGAAAGCATTTGGGGGCCCCCTGGGGCCCTCTTGGGGTCCTCTTTTGGGCCGCTTGGGACCCTTTGGGGGCCTCGTGGGCCGTCTTGGGGCCTTGCGCCGTCTGGCCCCTTCGGAGGCCGTCTCGGGGGCCTCTCGGGACCGTCTGTTCTCTCTCTTTGGGCCTCTTGGGCTGTTGGGGGCCTCGTGGGGCCCTCTTAGGGGCCTCCTTGTAACATCTTGGGGCCCGCCAGAGCCGTCTTGGTTCACCGAAGCCCCCAGGGCGGGGAGGCACATAGCGACCCACAGCTCCATCCGGTATACCTCTCACACGCTTCGAAGGAGATCTACCGGAGCCCCCTCGGGGCATAAGGGGGGGGAGGGCACATAGCGCCCTCCAGCCCACATCGGCACACCCCACTCACGCCCCACCCCACCCGCAGTTTCGGCACGCGTTTCAAGCCTTCCCACACGATTCGTGGCCCCATAGGGAGCTCCACCGAGGCGCCAGTGGGTGCGTCCACAGCGGTTCCCCGCCATTTCGGCGAACCCCTCATTCGTTTCGTGGCCCCATGGGAAGCTCCTCCTAAGATCCCAGTGGGTGCGTCCACATGAGGCTCCCGGCCCATGTCGGCACACTCCTCCCACGCCCCATCGATAAATACCTTCCTTCGTGCCACTTGCAGATGGTTGGGTCCTTCGCCAGGGTAATGTGTTTCTTCAGAGGGGCCGTACTGAATTGCTATAGTTGCAAGCCTTGCCAGCCTGAAGCTCTCCAAACACAGGAGGTGGCAACCAGCAATGGCGCCGCCAAGAAGCAGATGCCCTTC